CCTCTCGTAAGCGCACAGGCTAAGAAGTCGGTCTTCTCGAGCCAGTTCCTCAAAGTCAGTAGGTTAGCGCTAATCCTGAGTTAAAATTCCACCTGCCGTTCCATTTTTCCTATTTTCGCACTTTGAGAAATAAAACTTTAATTGATTCCGACAAGATTTCTGGAAAAGTATTTCCATGCTCATTAACCAGCTGTTGGGAATATTCCCTTGAGGATTGCCATTAACCTAAGATTGAGCTAACTGGCTTTTCGACAACCTGCCCATGTATGACCATGCATACGGTCTTTATTCCGTGGTTTGATGTTCAGTATTTTCGTTCATGTTGTTTTAGGGTGTGCAAACAGAAATTCGTGAGATTGTTTCTCAAGTAGAGGCTCAACAGAGGAAGTAAGGCTGTTTTTTAAGATGTGTCCGATCTGCTTAATTTTATAATTTTCAGTTTTTTGATGCTTAATCTGATGTTATTTCCTATCATTTCCTTATATGTATCAGACTATATCTTGTAGTTTATACTCCATGGTTGTTGTAATTCCCATAATGATCTGTATTACTGTTGTATACTCACTGCATGCTTTATGAATATTTTACACCAAATATGTAATCTCTCAACGCTCTTGATCGTTAGTTTCACTGCATCATGAGCTCTTTGTAATATTGTACATGTAATATAATGTACAAATTTGTTTTTGTGTGTTTGTCTTTTCATTTTTCTGCTGTCATCTGAAGCGACTCGGCCCGCATGAGAAAACTCGCGTCAAAGCACCCAAAATATGTTAAAAAGTTCTAAACACTAATACACAGCTTGTGCAACTAGAAATAATTAATAATTTCTCAAACAGAATACATGATGTTATATCTATTTCTGTAAAACTGATACCCGTGAAGTACTCCAAAAAGGCGGCAGTGATTGCCTTGGTTGAGGTTGTCGTTCTTTTTTCCTACCAAAATTCATCGTTTTTTTCGAATCAGTCTATATGCACAACAGACAGTTATATATAAAAATCCGTGCATAAAGCTAGAAGTAAACTACAAACAATGACAATGAAACTTTATATGTATTGTGTACTAGGTTCCACTGTAATTATATCAACACACATCTACGATTGTCCTCGAACAATAAAGTTCAATTGATCAAATAAAAAATGACATAAAATTCCACCATGGTAAGCCAAGCCCATAGTGTAATGAAATTTTTCGTGGAATCACTCGTTTCTTTATCAATAAATCCTTCGGGATCATTCAAAAATTCACAATGTTTTTCACGTAATTTTCTTCTCACGGTCATCTAAGAAAAACTTTCCATGTCCAGAAATTCTTCATTACTATCGCTATGTTGAGGCCACGATGGTAAACTGTCGATCTTGTCTACCACAATCGGTAACTTTCTGGTGCCGGAATTTGGATCTCTGTATAAAATAAGGGGAATTAGTGAGGGGTTGGTAGCACATCCTTTGTGATCCAAGAACAGTGGTAGTTTTCTTCTGACAGGATTGGCATCACTGTATAAAGGTACGTTTGCACACAAAAATTAATCGGGCCGATTCAGCTTTAAGTAAACGATGTTCGAAAAATACGCTGTCAATGTCATCTGACGACATCGTCAACTGACAACATTCGTCATTTAAAACATTGAAATCGGCCCAATTAATCGTGTGCAAACGTCATTTAAGAAAAACACGAGACATTTCCCAGCTTCTCCCATCCAGGTCTAAAATATTTCCCATCCAGGTCTAAGATATTATGTATATAATTTTCGCTTGAAACGTTTGTCCATCAACAAAAACCTACATTCTGTTCTATAGAGGTAGGTGTCCAAAATCTTCTTTAGTACTTGCCACATTCATAAATACACTATTCAACGACACATTTGATTTCTGATATCTCTTCTGCCTTCTGGTTTTGTTATGTACCAGCATCACTTTTTTGAAGTCGTGAAGGGATAAAATCTCCGCTCCCAGAGCATGCCTGTTCCCGCAGGTTAGGTGTGGGCACTCTAACCTGCGAACAGGCATGTTCTGTGTACGAGATTGACTAGCCTGCGAGCAGGCTCTCTGGGGAAAGAGAGCCTGCAAGGATCCCTATGATGATTGCGTGCCACCCTTCAATTATGATGTCACAGGTCAATTAATAACAACCAATCAGCGCAGACCGGAATACACTACGATATTGTAAACATAAACCGATTCGTGTCAAATTCGTTAATAGTTTCGTATACAGACCGCCACTGTGGCATACTAAAAAGTTAAAACGGCTCGAGGTTTTACAGAGCAATATATCAAGTTGTACTTTTTATTACAATCTGCATGTGTTTCTCCTGTAGGCACAGTAAGTTTAAAGTTGTATATTACCCGCTAACTAATTCAGTTATTTGGAATTGCTTCGTGCTGCAATATATAATATACACTGTAGAGGCCCTGTTAGGGTTTTAGGATTACGGATTATTTGGCATTTTTGGGCAGGATTACGGATTATTGCTAGTTAAAAGAAAAGATTACGGATTATTTTGATAGGATTTTAGGATTAAGGATTATTGATATGCAAAGATCATATATCATTTTTTTCCATTGAAAATAAAAATAAGAGGTAAAATGTGCAGTTTGTAAGACGTCATAAGATGCCAGTCAATATCAATATCTTCAATATGCTGCAGACACCATTCAAAGGTGCTAAAAAATTTTAATTATTGACCATTTTGCACATTTGAGATGAATCACGCGCATGAATCACTCGAGTGTCACTTGATTTTGCGTGGAATAATTTGACTGTTCACATTTCTTTAAATTATTAATTTATATATGTGTATTTATTTATTTATTTATACATTTAATTATTAATTTATACCTGTATTAATTTATATACCGGCTGCGAGGTCTGTACTGAAAGTTCCAGAGTCTAGATCCAGACCTTCCAGTTACCGTGAAATTCACGCATTTTTGTTTGTTATCACGCATGAAGTGACTTTCTTCCCGCATTTTTAAACTTTAACTTGTCGAGATTTCTTTATGTGGGGCAATTTGTCCCATTTCTTTTCATTTGCACAATGTTAAATGCATTCTTTTTGCCAACGCCAGTAAAGCCTAACCCAGAAGTCTTGCATGTCGAGAATGTGTGTCTCAATGGCATATCAAAAAGAGAGAAAAAGCTGGGAGACTCCTGAACCTGAGGAGCGTGATTTTTTGCCGTTTGGGAAGGAGGAGCAGCGCTAATATTTCATATTTTTATAGCATGAATACATAAGGTTTGCGCTTCGAAAAAGGCGTAAGAAAAACCTCGGAAAGGCGATCTGGGGAACTCAAATTTCAAAATTTTGCCCTGGGTGCGCCAACCATGGTGGCGCCTCGTGGATACTAACCCAAGGAAATTACGTTCCCGCATAAAAATTTTCAAAACTTGACAGGTCTGTGCTTCTGAGGCCGAGTGGATCGATATTTTTTAGTACGGACCAACCTAAACGGCAAATAACGTGTTTATTTTTTTATTTGATTGTTCATTGTTATAATGAATTCCGATAAAATTCCAGTTGGGCCAGTTGCGAAGTACATTTAAGATCAGTTGTGTTTGTTACTTTATTGAAAGTATGGCTGACAAACTGCTAAAACAACGCGATAAAAGCTGGATAAAAGCTTTTAGTAGTTTCATTGTAATCGATGCTTTTCTACTCAACAAGACAACAGAAGGTAAACTAAGTAAAATTATTCGTTTTCCGGATCGTTTTACAGCATGATGGACATGCTTGAAAATGCTTTTTGGCAGAAAACAGTAACTACAACTTTTAGTTACCGAAAAACAATTTGGTCATCACAACGTTAACATTTATAAAAATAGTTTTGACCGCATTATAGCCCAGGCAGTGGCGGAAATTCACTTTTTCCGGTGGGGAGGGCGAAGCCCTCTAAATTTCCGACAAAACTTTCAAATTTCCGACAACCCATTTGCACTCGAAAAGGCTGTTTTTAGCCCTATTATAGGGGAAGCCTCACATATCGATTTTGTCCATGCCGGAAACGTTATATGATCGTTTCTCTGGAGACCCCTCCCCACACCCCACACCCCCACTTAGAAACGTCACACATATTTATCGATATTTTGTTCTTATAGTACATATAAGGTAATTTTTACTATTTTCTACGGTTGGCTATTGGCGATGCTTCCTCGAAGAATATGTCATCTTCTGCTGACATATCTTTTTTATTAATATATATGAACTTCAAAATTTCCAATGTTCAGTCTCAAAACAACTTTTTTTGCATGAAATATTCATAATTTTAGCGCGTTTTTCTTGAAATTTGAGTGTTTTCACTGCAAAGAAGGCGTAATAATATAAATGTATACGTATATAGAACAGGTATGGTATCTTTTTTCATTCTGCCAAGATGATTCCGAAATGTTAAGGCTTTCAAAAAAATGATCGAATTTTTCCATGATGTTTACTGAGAAACGTCACAGCTGCAAACCCCCACCCCCAAACGAACATATGACGTTTCTCGTGGAAAAAATCGATATGTGAGGCTTCCCTAGGTCAAAATTTCCGAAAATTTGTCATTTTCCACGAAGATGGGGGGCGGCCGCCCCACGGAGATTTCCGCCACTGAGCCCAGGAATCATCTTTAAACTGCCATTTATGGTATTTTTTAAATTTTATGTTTAGGGACAAGTTGTACTTTATAGTATTTATATTTATACGTATATTTTCGAAGAATAGCTGAATATATGTGGAGCATTTGAATCAAAACATGTAGTACTGGCCAGTGTTTTTTCTATGTTTATATTTGGGTTTTTTCGCATTTTGGTCGGATAAAAGTACATTTCGGGCTTGGTACTAAGTCCATTGAAGTCAGTTCACTGTATTTTGCAATCTTTAGTGACTTTAGTATCGATAGCATAGATTTTTCGATTTTTGAGTTTGAAAATTGTCTTCGCTCCTCGCGGTTTGTCGCTAAAAAATAACTCTTGCCTTTTGGATCACGGTCCAGATATCGTAAAAAGCTGCCCGCTCCTGCAGCCAATCAGATCACAGGAAATAAGAAAATAGGCACTAGGCATGTACAAATAAAAAAATAAAAAGGGATATTTTTGTTTGTAGAAGTAGGATACGGATTATTTTTAAATTTTTGCTAGGATTATGGATTATTCAGACCCCCCCTAACAGGGCCTCACTAGGCTTATGCTTGATGACTCTATCAGTTGTAAACTGTTCTTCCTCGAAAGTAGCCTGCGCGGCAGGCGGTATTTCTACAGGCAGCGAAAATTAGGGAGGCAAAGGAAATACCGTCTGCCGCAAAACTAGGGGTTTTTGAATTACCCGTCCGCTGGTGAACGAGAAAAACGGATTGGTTAGTATTTTTATGTAGTTGTCAATCAACGGCTAAATTCGGTTAAATGTTAATCATTAACCAAATGTTTTGACGTTTTGAAACTCTGCGTTTTGAAATTAGTTCACGTCAAGTCAGACCAGAAATGGAATAACATAAGAAAAGAAGCAAATTAAAAGATACAAGCTGAAAAATAACTCTCTAAATAGTGTTTTTGATAGAGATTCGAACAAGAATATTTAACAAAGAAGATACGTCCGAAGGGGCCGAAGTTATGATCGGCGAAAGGTATGGGCTAGTCTATATTTTCGTTCAGACAATTACATGCGTATTAATTTGATAATATACGATCTCGCTTGACTTTCAAAGGCCATAAATCGCAATAATGTTGACATTTTACTAAAACTATCGATAGAAACTAAAACTATCGATAGAAATTAGGAGATATTTCTTCACTGAATCGAACAGTGGGATTTTCATATAGGCCTATCATGTTCTGAACCAAAGATACTTGATAGATATTTATAATATATACGAACCTCCAAAGTATAAACAAGGGGCCGGTTGATGCAGTAATTATCAAATAACAGTTAAACTCTTATATACCCGTTGAATATGTATAGTTGTAAACAAATAAAAACTATCGTTCTATAAGGTTCAAAACTTTCAGTTTGGTTGTTGACTGATGATGAATCTATAGTATAGACTTGCATGCTTTGTATTTTGAGCTTATTAAAAGGCAGCTAAACGGGCTTGGTTTATATTAACACATAAAATAAATTCCTTGATTCTCATCACTAGACACAGTCTACACTTTGAAATGTCGAAGACAGTGGGAGATTTATTTTTTATATTTATATATTTATATAATTATATATCAATTAGTTCGTATCTCCACGAACAATGACAGAATGACTGAGTTTCTTTAAAATACAATGAAATTTCATTCAAAATTCTGTTTGTTTCAAATTGGAAGTTTAAAATGGCAATAAAAACTCTATATAAAATATAAAAAAATTAACTGTCTTGAATTATTTTGTCGGGCGGTACATTTATATTGTATAACGAAATATAAAACGTTTTCACGAGGATTTTAAAAGTCAGTCGGGCGGTGATGAGAATCAAGGAATTTATTTTATGTTGGGCAGTTGGGACTTGGGAGCAGCTTGGGAGTGGCTAATTTTGAATATTTACTCAATTAATGCATCTATAAATAGCGTTGATGCTTCAGGGGCGGTAGTTCATTTACACTCAGTTTTGCGGCAGGCGGTATTTCCTAAGTACCGTCTGCCATGCAGGCTACCTAGAAAGCGGGTAATGGTCATCTCTGAAAAATGGAATACAACGAGAAAGGAAAACGTGACTGACTGTCATGGCGGATACTCATATTGTCAATGGTTCCACTCCTGCTGTGTGAAACAAGTGGCATGTTTTCTTCTCAATTAGCCGATACTTTATCGACGATGGTTGAGGGAAGACCACATTGCAATGGTGACAAGGAAATAAACAAGACCATTAATAAAAAGACATTGGCAATCAAGAATTATATTAATTGTATCTATTAGGTATACTCACGGAATATTCAATTTCATATTTTGGTCGGTTTGTTGCGTTTAGTTGTTGAGAAAATTTGATAAAAAGTTCAACGGTTGTCCACCATTTTGAAAATAAGCGCGTATGCTAATTTATGCCACGAAATACATTATCTGACATCATTGGCTGGGTAAACACAATTTCATGACTATCTACAATACCGAGTATATATTACCACGCGTAGTGCACTTTGAGCCAAAACAAAAGCCAGAAACCTTTTACCAAATATGTAACTAGTTTGTAACACTATTTCTCATGGTATATATCCTATTCTCCGTGTCAAATAGACGCAGAAATTCGAGTGTAACAAAGCAAATACTAATGCGATATTTTATGATCAATAGACCTTTCCCCTTATAGCCGAAATTTTGATCTAGGCAAGTCTAGACAAATATTTCATCGCAGCTTGAAAGAGCATCACAAAATTAGTAATATTCCAAAGTTTCGTTGCGAAATGATGTAAAATGAGGAAAATAGAGCCTTGCGAAATTTGCAATTTTCAGTCATTTTGCATTACAAACGGGAAATTGCAGCCCCAACACCCGAATCGGATGTCAATTTCCCGTTTGTAATACAAAATGACTGAAAAACGGCAAACTTTACAAGGCTATATTATCCGCATTTTACAAGATTTTGCAACAAAACTTTGGAATATTACTAATTTTGTGATGCTCTTTCAAGCTGTAATGAAATTTATGTCTAGATCGAAATTTTAGTTATAAGGGGAAAGGTCCATTACCTGTATTGTAAATTGCGCCATTCCTTGCTTTCCCAGTCGCTCGATATGCTTTTCTGATAGTCTAGACTTCTCTTTTTGATTGCAAAAAGTGTTGGCCAGCATAACGCTCAAAAGCTCAAAACGACATATTTTAGCCAACATAACACATTCAAGCACTATAGGATTCTCTCTTGTAGTTTTGGTGCTACCCATCCAATGACGTAACGAAGTTCATTGACCTTCGAGATAACTTTTTAAAAATGTTTCCAAGATGACGGCGAAACTGGCCGAAACAAGTTTGCATGCATTTTACTCGTAGACTAAAATGTTCGAGAAGGAAATGATAATATTTTCATAGTTAGTTCGTCAAGTAGGATTGAAGAAGCCAATAAAAATTTTCGTTGCAATTGTCCTTTAAAATTCTTCAAAAGCCATCCGTAAAAAGGATGATACACAAAGAGAATACTTACAAACAGGAATGATCTTGAATTATATCATGTTAGCTTAGAAAGACTAGCTGATTAAGTGAGAGCAATCTATCTATTACACATGTTCGGACATGTTCGGGAAATTGCAAGTGACCTGTGTACCAAGGTAATGAAGACGAAAACAATACTAGGATGTGAATTATATTAATCAAAACATAACATAGATAAAGATGATGATCTTAACGAAGAAGAACTAACAATCATTAATAAAAAATTGGGTATTATGATAATGACACATCTCCTTACAGTGTAAATTTCATATATGCCAAATGAAAGAAATTCAATGTATTAATTATTAAGTTTAACAAATGTTTGAACACCATCAAAACCAACAACACCAATAAGGAAAAAAAGAAATAACGGGCATTTTCAACTATACTGCTCAAGTAATACAATTGAGCGAAACAGAAAGAAAAAGAAAATAAGCCTTTGCGAAAGAGAAGGATACAGAAAAGGCATAGACAAAATATGAAATGAAATTCAAAAAACGAATACCAGTTAAGAAGAATTGAGAAAAGTACAGAGTGAAGAAAAACTGAAGCAATTTAGTGTTGTGACACGAGAAACAAGTTTTGGCAAAATAAGTTTTATGCATGACATGCCAAGGGAGTGGTGAGAGAGAACAATAAGAAAACGTGGTGGTAGATAGAACAATAATAAAAGATAGAAAAATAGCAAGATAGAAAAATAGAAAAATAAGCAAGATAGAAAAATAATAAAAGTATAAAAAAGATACATGAAACTCAACAAGATGAAATACTGCATGTCAAGCCGAAACATACCTGAATCAAAATCTTAAAATTAAATGATGTTGCAACCAATCGATAAAATTAAATGATGTTACAACCATGAATTGGTATATAGGTATCAGTAAAATGCCTACATATTAGCTTGTGTTTTAATTTAAAATAGACAGGAGTAAAGAAATAGGAATAGCCAGTATTTGCTCCAGCTGAGACACCATACACATTGTACTGCATAAGCGTATGCAACACAGTGGAAGTACAATGATTTATTTATTGTGAAATGAAGGGTTATATCTTTTAGATCAAGTACGATAAAGACAATCTGTAATAAGTGGGACAAATATAATTTTCGATTACTTTTCCTTTTGTTTTTGTAGAGCTCGTTGGCTTGAACAATATTCTGGAAAATAACGCTAAAACACGAAAATTTACCTTTACAGTCAGCGCCATTCCCAACAAAACCATCGTTGCAAGAACAGTTAAAAACTCCGAGAGAATCTGAGCAGGTAGAGTTCACATGGCAGAAAGTTCCAACACAACATTCATCTTCATCTATATATCAATTCAAACATCAAGAAATTTTAGCATTCATGTCATCAAACATTTCATTGCAGTTTGGAATAGTTGAGATAAAATGAATTAATATTTACGGTTTTTAGTTTTCTCTTTTTTTAGCGAGATAAACAATTTTAATTAATCATGGCAATGTAAGTAAATATTGGAATGAGTTGCGTACAGGTATGCAAAGATATGTCATGAATATTGCGGTTATAATAGCACATTAAGAACTGCACTTTGCAGCTAAATTAGTCAGCCCACGCAGTCCACTGTATCAGTCATGCAGGACCGCAGGTGTGAGACAATATGAGTTGCATTTTTCATATTTTCTCCAGTTTAGGTCTAAAAATGTATAAAATATACACAAGCAATTTCCTTCTACAAAAAACATTTAATATTTCGTTAATTTCTACAATCGTCCACAAAATATATTGAGACTTTTGAAATAATTCCCCCCTCCCCCTATTTCAATGTTGAAATGGTAGAACCGAAACTGTCTTATTTGCAGTTGACGTTTAAAATATAATGTTTGAATTAAACAATATTTTTGTACAAAACAACATTGAAATCGGGGAGGGGGGTTTGTCTCAAATATTTTGTGGACGATTGTAGTTCAAAACTCCTAACAATGAGGCTACTTTCTCGGTACTTGGATAAGAAACACAAAACCAACTTTAAACGCAGACATATCAGAAAGAGGCTGGGTGCTTTGGGGTTTTTTTTTCAGAAAGACGAAACTCACCATATGCAATTATTAAATCTTCTATGGTACCATTATAGGTAATATTCTTTTGCTTTTCAAGCGATGTCTTTAAGTATTGGTCAACTCGGTTGTCTCCTTTATCCAGGACATAAATATTAAACACATCTGAGGTCACATCAATCTCTCCAGAATATGTTATGTTTAAATCGATTGTTTCTCCATTCAGCAGAGTCCTCATAACCCTGTGACTGTTTCCCTCATAATTAGCCCAATATATTACATTATCATATTCATCAACAGAAATTGATTGCGCTGAACCAGTTGTGGAGGTGAAAGGCGTAATAGATTGATCCGATGGATTGTAACGTATGATGGTTGGATAACTTGCTTTCGCAATGTAGAGATAACTATAAAAACAAATGATTCAGTTCACACAAATCACCATCATTTCTTATAAATCTAATCAGCTCAGTATCAAACTTTAGTCCTATCAATACTTCATATCCTTAACCCTACATTCATCAAAAAATCATCTGTCATCTAGTACCATAAATAACGATATTTATGAAAGAAAATTACATTATCACAGTTTAATATTTTTTACAGATAGCACAAAATCTATTTCGTAATGCCAGTTTGCATGAACCATAGCAAAGACAAAAAGGAGGCAAGTTAATTAAAGATGGAACATAATAAACCAAAAAAGAGTAATTATCAAATAACGCAGAAAATAATAATAGAAAATAGGAAAAGCAGTGTGACTTAATGAAAACAATAAAACAAACAACCAAAAAAGTGTAAACCAAATAAGGGAAAGGAAAATAGGAAAAGCACTGTCACTTAATAAAAACAATAGATCAAACTGATGTAAATGAAAGGGAAATAAGGACATAAGCACAGGAAAATCATAGAACAAAGCTTCACATCAACAGATAAAACCCATAATTCTGGTAGGATATTCGTGTTCAAGGTATGAAAGAAATACTCTAGCTATAACAAACATACTTGCAGGGCGGTGAGCGGGGATTGGACGCGCCGAGGCTGGTTGGTAGTTTCCGGAACTCACCGAGCGAAGCGAGATGGGTTCGGGAAACTTCCAGCTACCCGAGCTGTGTCCAATCCCGGACTCACTTCCCTGCAAGTATGTTCGGTTTTTATCACATGCCATTTCGGTAAAAAGTACGAAAGAATTTACGCATTTAGTATATAATTTCTTGTTTGGATATAACGAACGTTATTTTAGCCGCCACCATACTACAAACAAACAAACAAACAAACAAACAAACAAACAAACAAACAAACAAACAAACAAACAAACAAACAGACAGACAGACAGACAGACAGACAGACAGACAGACAGACAGACAGACAGACAGACAGACAGACAGACAGACAGACAGACAGACAGACAGACAA